CTACGCCGCCGCCCGCGGCGCCTTAGGTCGGCCAAGAGTGTCTCTCATTGGTCTCGCAGCCCTGTCAGTCATCTGGGAGTCTAGAGGGGCGGGGCGGAAGTGGAGATCCGGATCCGGAGCGGCTGAAAGGCGGAAGTGGAGGCCGGAGCCTGGGACACCGCCGGGGGGGAGAGAAGCGGAGCCCGTTCGAGCGCCGGCTCCAAGTAACGCCGCCGCCCCTGAGCCGCCGTGAGTATACCTGTCCCGGGACCCGGTGTCCTGCCCGCGTTGCAGCCTCTCCAGGGCAGCCCTTCCTCCCGCCCAGCCCCAGCTTCGGGGGCTACTGACCCCTCCCCCGACCCGTAGTCCCCCTAAGGGGTTCCTCAGGCATCCGGCCAGAGGAGGCGGGGGTGGGAAGGGGTGCTTCTTTCCTCAGCTTACCTGCCTTTCGTGAGCCTTGGAGGAAGCCCCCAAAGCTGTCCTCTGGCCTGTCCAGCCCGGCTGTGGGAGAGAGGGGCCCTAAGGTCCGCTCTTCCTGCTCCCAGAATTGGAGGACCTTTGCCAGGTGTGAAGAACCTGTCCCCTTTCACTTTTAGAGTTGGCGGGGGGCGCTGTCTGTCGCTGTGTTCCTTCCTCCTGTCCCACAAAGCCAGTTGTCCCCTCCAGCCCTGGAGTAATATGTCGATGTCTTTGGCGGGGGGAGGTGCCTGAGCGGGACCGTGCCACACGCCCAAAAGTGTGTCTGTGCTCCCACAACTCACTTCCTCGGGCCAGAGAACCGGCCTGGACCTCGGCAGTGTCTGAGGCCTGGGTCACTTATTAGGAAGGAGCTGTCTTCTTGCCTCGCCCCCTCTGCCCCCAGCTCGGTCCTCTAGTTATGATCTCTGAGCAGTATCTCTCTTCCTGCCTCTGAAGAATTTAGCTGAGGTTTGCTCAATCCCAGCTACAGATCACAGATCGGGGTGGATCTGCCCATTCATTATCTTCTCTCTCCCCTCCTCCTCCTCCTCCTCCTCCTCCCCCTCTTGCTCCAGGCTCAGCTCCCAGAGCACGTGAGTGGTTTCCAAGCTGCCTCAGAGGGACTGCTCCTCCTGGGACTGCTGTCTGCTGGTCTGTAGGGAGGAGAATGCGCCCCAAAATGAGGAGTCTGGAATTGAAGGGTCATCTGTTTCCCACCCCAAACACATACATATACCACCCTGAGCAACAGGTCCAGGCCACACCGGGGTCTGTCTCTAGTCCCTTCTGGACTTGGACTTATTACAGAGGAAAAAGTCAAGATCGCAATGGCAGCTCTGGATTTTTGTTTTGTTTTGTTTTGTTTTTGAATTGGAGTCTCACTCTGTCACCCAGACTGGAGTGCAATGGCACGCTCCCGGCCACCGCAGCCTCGACCTGTTGGGCTCAGGTGTTCCTTCCGCCTCAACCTTCTGAGTAGCTGGAACTATAGGCATGCACAACCACGCCCTGCTACTTTTTTTTTTTTTTTTTTTAATTTATTGTAGAGATGAGATCTCACCAAATTGCCCAAGCTGTTCTCAAACCCGTGGACTTAGGCAGTCCTCTCATCTAGACCTCCCAAAGTGCTGGCATTATAGGTGTGAGCCACCATGTCCGGCAAGTTCTGGATTCTTGATGTGCTAATATGTATAGCTCAAGGGATTCTCATACATGCCAGAGAGTGCAGATTCCTCCAACTATGTTGGTATATGATATTTGTCTGTTGCTTGGGACATAGGTGTGTGAAGTAGCTGCTGTCTCAGAACAAGCTGGAAGGTTCTTTATTATGTGGCCAAAGTAAAGGCCAGAGACTGTGTCTTAATGAGGAGCAACTTTGTTCCGAGACTGTGGCTGCCCCGTGCTATCTGCGGAGGAGGAAGGGAGGGAAAGCCATGCTGTCCCTGGGAAGGTCTCTAGCTCTTCGGTGCTCTGGGCCACCCCTGGCACCCTCGGGTACTACTTACAAGTGCTAAGGTTTTTTTGCCTTGAGATCTTTTTGGCTACTGAACAGTTACTAGTGTCTGATTCCCACAGTCTTTCGAATTAAACCTGGGATGCACTTATTTCATCTTCTACTGGACAGCAAAAGAACCCTTCCTTTCAGGGGTCCGCAACTGAATCACAAGCTCTGCATCCTTATCGGTTCCTTGGGACTCTTTGGAGACTTCTTCAGCCAACCTAATTTCTCCGATCTGGTCAGCCTGTATGTCTGGGGAGCAGGGCCAGAGAGCCCTGAGTGAACACCGGCTCTTGGTCTCCAGCCAGACTTACCTCTTCAGGAATAGACTGTGGTGTGTCTCCAGTAGTCCTGGGATGAGGCCGACCAGCCCTCTAGGGGACCTTCTTTCCTCTGTCTGGACATGCTTTCCTTTTGTGCCTCCCACACAGACTTGGGGAGGAGAAGCTCTCTCTTTTTTTTTTTTTGAGTTGGAGTCTCACTCCTTTGCCTAGTCTAGAGTGCAGTGGCATGCTCATGGCCACCCCAGCATTGACCTGCTGGACTCCAGCGATCCTTCCACCTCAGCCTTCCAAGTAGCCGGAACTACAGGCATGTGCTACCACGCCACGCTAATTTTTTGATTTATTGTAGAGACAAGGTCTCACCAAGTTGCCCAGGCTGGTCTCAAACTCCTGGACTCAGGCAGTCCTCTTACCTCAGCCTCCCAAAGTGCTGGGATTACAGGCTTGAGCCTATAAGGATGCAGTGCGACCTCTTATAACTCATTGTAAAGTTGCAAGGTTTATTCCACACATGTTCTCACAAATGTCCAGGGAGATAGAGGGCTGTGCATCCCTACTTTATCTATGTATTTAATTTATTTATTTTCTAAAAGGAAGATAAGGTGAGGAAGTATCCCTCCATTAGATATGAGATGCTGCAGTCACTAAGTGGCTTGCCTAAGATCACACAGAAAGTGGCACCGCTGAGCTTGGATTTTGGGTCACTTGGGACCTCGTCTTTCCTCATAGTGGACACTTCTTCAGTCTGTTCTATTAAATGAGTAAACTTGCAGGGTGAGTAGCAGCAGCCCCTGGGCAACCCCCTAACCCTTCAACCCTACTCATCACTGGCACTCCTTCTGCTTCCGGTTTCTCCCCTCACCTCTACCCATGAGGGGACCCCCTTCTTTTGACCCCCTTCTCCTCTGCCTCTGGGGCCCAAGAGTTTGCTGACGTCTGCATGCCATTCATTCTTGGGGACCTAAAAGTCATGATGGCAAGAAAATGAAAGTAAAAGCGAGTGGACTCGGGTCCCGCCGGGCAGGGTGAGGGTTAGGGCCCTGGCAGAGCTGACCTCTGGTTCCCCTTTAGCGCTGCCTGCTGCTTGTAAGTGGGAGGAATGGGTTTCTCCACCGGGAGCTCCTCACTAGAACTGACATGGAAACAGCAAGGTCATAAATCTAAATGTAGCCCCACCGAGCAGGTGCTGCTTAGAAAGAAGCTTCTTCCTCTCACTCTTGCCCAGTAAACGGAGGCGATGTGGTGGCATGGAGCCACTGGAGCTTTGGAGTCCGTTGGACCTGAGTTCTCATCCAGACTCCCCCACTTACCAGTTGACCTTGGCCTTGCTACTTGACCTCACTGAGCCTCTGTTTCTTCCAGTAAAATGGGGTATTAAATATCTTGTAGAATTAGAAACAAAGGGTAGAGGAGCCAGTCCAGAGTCTGACACAGGCTAGATCCCCACAATTGCCTCTGGTGGGTAGGTGGGGTCTGAAGGGACATCGTAACTCACTCCTGGGATTCTGAGTCAACATTTGTACCCAGTGTCTCCTGTGATGGCTGTTACTTGATGCTTGATGATTTCACATCTTGTCTCATTTTGTAGGTATTAGACAGAATCGGTGTGGGTTGTGTTCTCATTTTCCAGAAGAGAATGCTGAGGTTATGCCTGTGCTTCTCCCACTGGGTTTCTCAGACCCCACTGGGGTCATGTGTCGTGGAGACAGCGCCACAGACTGAGCAAGGTCTTTGCATCTCCTAGGCACTTCGGTCCACTTAGTTGTGAGCGTTTTCTTTTTCTTTTTCTTTTTCTTTTTTTGAGTTGAAGTCTCACTCTGTCGCCCAGACTGGAGTGCAGTGACTGCTCCCGGCCCCCGCAGCCTCGACCTGCTGGGCTCCGGCGATCCTTCCGCCTCAGCCTTCCAAGTAGCCGGAACTACAGTCGCGCGCTACCACGCCCGGCTAATTTTTGATTTATTGTAGAGATGAGGTCTCGCCAAGTTGCCTAGGTGGGTCTCAAACCCGCCGGGCTCAGGCAATCCACTCACCTCAGCCTCCCAAGGCGCGGGATTACAGGCTGAGCCACTGAGCCTGGCAGTTGTGAGCGTTTTCATGTGAAAACAGTCCTGAATCTATAGATTAGAATGCAAAGTTTGCAAGAATTTAAGCTGAAACAGGAAACTCGGGACAATATTTTGGTCGTAGCCAACTACTTTGGATTCAAGTCCCAGGTTCCTGGGGTTTTGCATTTCCTCTCCCCTGACTTGGGTACTTTTTTTGGGGCCATTTGGGAATCACTGCTTCAGGTACGATTTATAAACTAGGATATTCCACACTCAGGCAGTCGCACTTGCGGGACCTTGGCAGGGTGAATTGGAATGTTTTTGAAAAAGTTCTCTGCAGTAATTGCCTGGTGTTTAAGGGATTCATGTTCAGAGTCAATAGCCCCTCTTCTGTATACAGGAACAGTGAGACACATGAAAGCTCAGCTGTGTGAGTTTTGCCTGTTGTATGTTGGCTACTCACGGAGCTTCAGCGGGTGTTGGCTCACAATCCTCCCGGCAACCCCAGGGGGTCGGCCAGGGGCAGAGCAGGGGTAGAATCCAAAGCCTGCGCTCGGATCAATGCAGTACATCCTTTCCTTGTCCCATCCTGGGCTAAAAGCATCTATTCCTCACCTAGAGGGCTCTTCTGCCCCCGCCTGGAAGCTGTTATCTCCTTACTGTCCTCTCAAAGCTCAGGGTGAGTGTCACTTCCTCTGTGAAGTCTTCCCTTGCCCAGGCAGGCTGCAGGCTCTTCTCCATGGGCTTTATCTCATGGCTCTTAGTGCTCCTTGCCTACCACCTTCTCTAGTGTCTGAGCCCTGTAGGGCACAGACTGTGTCCTGCTTTATCCCTGTGTGTTTGGTACCCAGCGTGGTGCTCAGCATAATAGGCCCCACTGATGTTGTTGAAGGCAAGGCCCAACTTTCCAGACTGCGCTTGTTGCAAATGCCTCCCCGCTTCCTTGAACACATACTTCCCAAC